CCTCTTTCTTCTCCAGAACGCCATCCTTGTTGGAGTCGTACTTGGAAAACAACGCCTGGGCGCGTCCTGTGAGACCAGGATCTGGGTTATTGGACTTGTCGGACTCATTGGATCCATTGGACGTGTAATATACCCCAGATTAGCGAACCATGGTGCTGGTGGTATAAAAACCTACATGACTGGGTCATAAAAATGGGGTAAATGTTAATATTCCAGCACCATGGGTTGCATATGGGTAGTTATAGGCCATTTAAACAAAATGGTTGTAGATGTTGGGGAAATGCCCCAATCCCAACCATATCATCTATGTCCGGATGTCGCGATGCTGGTTGAACAAAATCGCCAACACTTTTGGATGTGCATTCCCAATATGTTGGGTAAAACATGGTAAAACAACATCTTCAAAAAGCCACATGAAAATGTTCATCCGAGAATTTTCCCCGCTCTTTTCGGCGTTTTTCGCTGGCCCTGGGGCCCGGTCCAGGTCTTTGTCCAACTGCACCTTGGCCTTGGCCTTCTTCAAGGCCTGAGAACTTCCGGCCATCCCATGGCGACCTGAAATCATAGCATTGGGGGATATGAAGATATAATATATAAATATATAAATAATATAATATAATATGATATAATATGATATATAATATGATATAATATGATATAATATGAAAAAATATGATATAATGGATAACCATTATTTGGGGAAATTGGTATATTTATTCATTATATCCCCATTCTATATCCCCCAAAAAATCATATTATACCAACTTCTGGTCATACCTGATAATCATGATTTGGGGATGGTTTATAGCAATTAAAACTTCCCAATTGGGGATGCCAAGTGCCAAGTTGCCAATGTTGAACATGAATTACTCGGTCATCAAGAGTCATCAACAAACATAGAAGCATCTGAATATATCCTGGTTGGTGGTATACCTACCCCTCTGAAAAATGATGGAGTGAAAGTCAGTTGGGATGATTTTTCCATTCCCAACTGAATGGAAAGTCATAAAATTCCATGGTTCCAGTCACCACCAACCAGTATCTGAATAAAACATAAAACAGGGCAAGGAAGCTTCCCGCTCCATCGCCAACGACCGGTGAATCTTCGCATCCCTTGTCCACCCATAACCACTGGTCCTTGCAGAACTCATTGATGTCTACCCATATCAAATGTAATATGTATGTAGTATGTATGCAACATGGATGTACTGGTACTACGCTAACATGTGTGCAATAAGTATGTATTAAATGTATGTAACACACGTACGTATAATATAACATGTTTCCATGTCATCCAACAACATGACACGTTTTCACACACTACAATGGCATTGGCAGAGGGCTCGGCAGCTGGAATTCCAAAACAGATGTTGAACGCGTGCTGTGAAACAGCCCAAAGAGCCATCCATCTATCTCACTTAATTGACATATTTGCATGCCAACTTCAGTCAACTTTTATTGGATTGCTTCCATATTCTAAATTTACATCTTTATCATCTATCAGGCACGTTTATATATATGGTTGGTGGTTTCAATCCCTCTGAAAAATATTAGTCAGTTGGGAGTATTCTTCCCAATCTATGGAAAAAATATTCCAAACCACCAACCAGATATATATATATATATATATATTTCTTGGAGTTTTCCATGGGGTATGGTTAACTCTGAAACATCGCCAGCAAACAGACAAAACACCTGACCCATCAACCTGACCACTTCCACTCAGGAGATCTGATTCCATTGGGATAGGGATACCCTCTGGTAAACATCCAAAAAACGATGGAACATCACCATTTTTAAACGGGAAACCTCAACTATTTCTATGGCCATGTTCAATAACTTTTTGTATGTTTACCAGAGGGTAATTACGAAAACAAAATCAATGCGTCCATTATGTGACCCTGATATCATTCTTGCACGTGCTCCCATTTGCTGAGATGAACTACCAAACTGTTCTCGAAACCACGTTTAAAATTAGCTGCAGCCAGCCCAGGGTTGATTATGTTCATCATATGTTCACGTCATCTCCTAGTCCAAGAGGCAGTAACTAATGTATCTCTTTACTTTCCAAGAAACTCAGTCAAACTTGTTTACCCCCAACATTCTATGATTTGAGACTGAGAGAATGATCAATTCTGCGGATCGATTTTGGCCTCTCCTTTTTTTCCGGTCCCATCAAGTTGATTTTCATTTTCCCCGCATTAACTAATCCCCATTGTTGATGTTGAAATTCTACCATTTTCCAATGATATCCTTAGTTGTATCCACTCACATCCCCATTTTGCCTAGATCCAATCTGTGGATTGTCAATCCCCATTTTTCCATTTGAATCTCCCATAAATCCCCATACTTGGAAACAAAATCATGTTAAATCCCATCGTTCTGGGTGAATTGTCAGATTCACAATCTGGTTGGTGTACCTACCCCTCTGAAAAATATGAAAGTCAAATGGGATGATTTTTCCATTCCCAACTGAATGGAAAGTCATAAAATTCCATGGTTCCAGTCACCACCAACCAGCAATAACACTTTCCATGAAATAAGGCTGTTTTTGGACGGGATAATCTTCTGGCCGTTACAACTTACCCAGATTCTTGGTGAATGGAGGTTGAAGTCCCCAAAAAAAAACGTTCAGGTGCCTTATAAGTGGTTTAACTGTGGCTGAATTCTATGGTTTATGGTAGATTTATGGTTGGTTTACAACTCCAATGACTATGGTTTATGATATTTATACTATTGTAACTATAGTTAGACTCTGCGTTATGCCATTAGTTTATACCATAGTTTATAAACAATTAATAACTATGATACTTATACCATTATGACAACTATGGTTCATAAACCAACTTATAACTGGGGGACAGCATCCTGTAACTCTCAGGCCTCCGTCTTGATAGAACTGGAGGACTTAATCGCGGTATCTTTCATCATGCTACAGGCCGCCATCCTGCGTCAGTGATCGTCAGTGACCAGGTTAAAAAATGGCTGTTTCTTGTGTAAACATATGGATTTATATCTAATTATGATTGTGATTATAATTAAATAATCATAATTAATGAGTTTAATCCAGATATAGATATACATTTGATAGAGGGATTACTTATGATTATTACAAATCGAAGAGATTGAATCTTGGTGTAAATGGCTTCTTACCGTTGGGCTCCTCGATTTGGAGGGTACCAATGAACCAGCAAATTCTCACTATTTGGGGGCGATGGGGGTAACCCCCTAATTAATCAACCAGGGTTCATCAAAGTAGCGTTGACATTATCAGACAAAATCTGCTACTTTATCAAAACATCATGGGTATCAGTCAGGATAGGGCCAATAGCCGAAAATAGGTAAGAACACATCAAAGAGGAGAAGAGAAACACATGCTTACACACACACAAACCCATGAACATACAATATAGAGCAGCAAACCAACAAGAACGGTAATGATCGACAGGCACGAAAAGAATGAAGATAGCATAAGAAAGACAAACAGGATAAAGATACGAAGATACGGGACATATGATATGCATTCGTAATTAGATTAGTATCATCAATATGGTGTATATATATATTATATATATGTGTATATTATATCTTAAAACATGACATTGATTTTCTGATTTTCCGACGCCGACCATCATTTTTCGATGCTGGAGTCCGTCCGTCCCGCCTCTGCATGAGTCTGCTATTCTGCTCCCTCAAGTCTTTCAACTCGGGATCGGTGCCCTGAGGGATGAGGCGATATACCGCGCCCATGAGGCCGACTCTGTGGTGCAGTAAAAAAAAATGCTTTTCGATTCCTTCAAAGTTGGAGAGTTTCTATATGTTTCTATGATAGTTTACGTTTCACCTTCTCAAATTTGCTGGATTTTAAGGGCTTCTGGGAAACTTTGAAGCCCTTCTGAGTATCGTTCAGATGGCTCAGTTGAACTGCGCCATTTTTCATGGAGCAGTTGTTGATTTTCACTGACGTGTTCCTATTTGCATTGACTCCCACAATGTGAGGCCCCCAAGATATCTAAGTTGGTTTATAACTCCAATAACTATATGGTTTATGGTATATAGTTATAGTTATAACTATAGTTACTGGAGCGAATCTAAACCAACAAACATCACTGGGGGGCCTCACATTGCACCACTCTCTTCATTTCTGCTTCTTCCCATGCTGAATCAATATCATCTAGTATGAAATCACGAAATCAGTACATCAAAGTAGCCGGCCTGGTAAACGTTTACAGAAAACGATGGAACATCACCATGCTATGAATAGGTAAATCGACACACTTTCTATGGGCCACGGCTTCAATAGCTATGTATTGACATAACCAGAGGCTATCTGGGTATGGGTCAAAATTAGGTACCCCAATAATTGGATGGTTAATACTAAACTAGACATTCACATCTGTGGTCCCCTTAATGGTCTTCCATTTTGACCCACATCCATCTATAGCTCAATGAGGAGTCACCAAGCATCGCCAGAAATCGCCCAATCCGAAGGTCCCATCGTCGTGAGGTCTTTGCGATCCATTTCCTAACTTTTGATGCTTAACTCGTATTTAAAAAAAATCATTTCCTGATGGTTTTTATGGTAGTTATAACTCCAAGTTCACTATGTCACTATGGTTTATGGTAGGCAAATAACATCTTATAACTATAGTTACTGGGGCTTTTTAACATATTTTGACATCTTGTTTGATGCTTCAACCGCATTTTGACTCCGAAACCGCCCCGATATTTTTTTGTTGCCTTCATGGCATCGTTCTTGCGCATCAGTTGTGTGCAGACCTGGCGGTCCAAAACGACACCAACTACACCATGGTAACTTAGTTGATATGCAAAACAGCCCTGAACAAATGGGATATAATATATATATATATACATATATATATAAATATATCTGGGTAAATTGTAATATTTCACTAACCTGAAATAAGGCCATTTTGGGATGATTCCCCTTAGTAACTATGGTTATAGTGAGGTCGCAGTGAGGTCGTTATAATTTACCCATATATATATAATATATGTATATATATATATATATGTGTATATATATTTATATATGTATATAATTGTATATATGTATTATCAATCTTGAACATACCTACCCAAATGATCGGAGAGATATCGCTATTGCTGTCGACCAGCAATCAAAGGACCTCTGAACTATATAGTTTATATGAGAAGATAATGGACATTGATATTATGATTAAAGAGCCCTGGGCTACTCCTAACATCCAAAAAAATGCTACCGGCCCTTTCTATCAAATCTATTCAAATCTGAAAAATCCGCAAACATCGCAACAATTCAAAAAAAAGCTAGAAATCCAATCCAAAAAGTCCAAAACAGTCTAAAAAACAAACACATCTAAAAAACAATCCGAAAACACATCTCATGTTAATGCAAAACAGATGGGAATGACATGGAATTATCTGGAATTAAAACGAATCAACAGGAATGTTCGAGTGGCGTGTCCCTGTAATGTCCCACCCACTCCATAGAGATATTTTCATACAGTGTGAGGCCCCCGTTCGATATCTAAGTTGGTGCAAATAACTCCAATTTCACTATGGTTTATGGTAGGCAAAAAACTATAGTTACTGGGGCGAAGTCTACTGTTCGCATGTCGACATGGTCGCCGCATGTCGCCGCATGTCGCCGCATGTCGCCGCATGTCGCCGCATGTCGCCGCATGTCGCCGCGTCGCCAACCCCAACCTGATAAGCATCGTTGGCTTCTTGGGTGGCTGTGTCGATGCTGAAAATCATGTCGTTCACCTGCGTGGGCTCAGTGATCACCGGAGATGGACTTCCCAAGAAACCCAAGAAGTACCCAAGCCCAAGAGGGACGTTTATATGGAAAACCATGGGAAAACCATGGGAAAACCATGGGAAAACAATGGGAAAACCATGATTTATATGGAAAATCACCATTTTTAATGGACTGGTTGTAGATTGTAGAGCTTTACAAACTGGTAATTATGGAAAAATCAACCAACGATGGGATAATTTCAGCAACAAAATATGGGAGTATACCGTGTACCCTCTGGTAAACGTTTACATAAAACTATCATAAAACTATGGAAAATCACCATGCTATCTAGCTGGGAAAATCAACGAACTTTCTATATCTTTCTATGGCCATGTTCCAGTTCGCAAACTGTAACAGTCATTACCAGAGGATACTGGTTGTAGAGCGCCATGTAAGAACATGACTATGGGGTCCACGGGTTCTCCACTGGACTATGGCTGCAGCATCCGAACTTCTTGAGACCCGAACTGCTCTTTTTCTTGGTCGGGGCTGCGACGCTGCGGCATCCGCATGATCACACAGATTCCACCGTTTCGCGCCACTGTCGAGATCTGTGGTGTGACATGTTTCCCATTACCCTCTGGTTATTTAACATAGCCATGGAAGCCATGGCCCATTTATAGATGATTTTCCCATTAAACCACCCATTTATAAGGGATTTTCCATGGCTATGTGGTAAGATTTGCTTCGGAGAAACTCTCCATGAAATGAACATGTGAAATACCGACAAGCCAAACCTCTGGTAATCCAACCCAGCGGAACATCGCCCATGGAAACCCAGCAATGTTTTCGGAGGTGCTTGAAGAAAACCCAAAAAAGAACTGGTGGTTTGATAACCAGCCATATTTTTTGTCTTTTTGGCCTGTTGAATCTTGATATTTGTATTGAGTAATATGTTTCGTATCAAACAGCATTAGATTGTACAGTCACCGACACATTTAGTACTATTGGTGTACCAGGATTGGATAGGTCGAATAGGTACAGTATCACCATCTTGCAATGTGGGGCCCCCGTTCGATAGCTAAGTTGGCGCACATAACTCCAATTTCACTATGGTTTATGGTACTTATAACATCTTATAACATCTTATAACTATAGTTACTGGATGTTACTGGGGCGAATCTAAACCAACGTTCACATCACTGGGGGGCATCACCATCTTGGGATGTTGGGAACATCTTGGGCCAAACTCCAACCGAAAAGTTGGTCGTTTCGTGGCAATGGATCCTGACAATGACCATCCTGCAGGCCGATGACGCCGCAGGACCTGCGCTGGGTCATGGTGGGCTTGGTGGGACAATCGCCAAGGAAAAAAATCGTTGTTGAATGGGGATTTAACATGATTTAGCTATATTTAGCTTAATTTAATTGTGAAAGATGGAGGCCGAAGATGGTATTCACTACTGAAAATGGTGGTCAAAACACCACCAATCTTCATGGAAATTTGAGATGGGTGAAGCTCGCAATATGAGGGTTTTGAGCCACAAAGAGGAGGATGGCGATCTTGAATGTCCGGGTAATGGATTGGTTTTCTTGGGAAATCATTGCCAATCAGCCAGATACCCTGCAAAAAATGACAAATTCTTTGCTGGTGAACGTAGATATTCCCATGAAAATACCAAAAGACTAGTTAGGATTAGTTTGTATCCATGTAAGATTGCCCTAGAAAATTGAAACCGGAAAGCCCCACGATCTTCATGGGAAAATCGATGGAAAATCCGGGCCATCGATTTTCCCAAGAAAACCGATCCATTGATGCGACCGAAGCTTGCCTCACTCAATCTCCATGTCCTGGACGTGAAAAACGTTTGGAAGAAATGGACCACTCCACCATTTCGATTGGATCATTTCCAATGGGGCCACCATGGATTTCAGTTATGTCAGTTTACTGGTAACCCAGAGCTGGAAAGAGCCAGAATCATCTCATGGCAATGGAAATTCCCAGGACTAAATGGAGGTTTCTAGCTGGGAAAATCATCTATAGTGACGGACAATCACTTAGAACGTAAATGTTTTTCCATTTTTTTTTTCGTACTTAGAACGTAGCAAAATTTCATCACTTAGAACGTAGGGAAAATTCATCACTTAGAACGTCAAAATATCACTTAGGCCCATTTATCACTTAGAACGTAAACCAACACTTAGAACGTGCTAAGTGATTGTCCGTCGCTATATAAACTATTTTTTCGATTTCAAAATCAATTAAATTTCCTTATATAGCGCAATTAAACATATTGCCAAAAATTGGATTTCGAAGCGGACCCTAATAATAAATTTAGACCCTTAATAAAGCGGCTATTTTTTTCGACTTCAAAATCAATTAAATTTCCTTATATAACGCAATTAAAATATTGCCAAAAATTGGATTTCGAAGCGAATCTTAATAATAAATTTAAACCCTTAATAAAAAAACTAGTTTTTTCGATTCAAAATCAATTAAATTTCCTTTTATAACGCAATAAGACTATTGCCAAACACTAGAGTTCGAAGCGGACCCTAATAAATTTAAACCCTTAATAAAACAAAACTATTTTTTCGATTCAAAACCAATTAAATTTCCTTATATAGCGCAATTGAAATATTGCCACAAATTGGATTTCGATGCGGACCTAAATAATAAATTTAAACCCTTAATAAGAAAAACATTTTTTTCGATTTCAAAATCAGGTAAATTTCCTTATAACACAATTAAAATATTGCCAAAAATTGGATTTCGAAGCGGATCCTAATAATAAATTTAAACCCTTAATAAAAAGACTAGTTTTTTCGCTTTCGAAATCAATTGAATTTCCTTTTATAACGCAATTAAAATATTGCAGAAAATTGGAATTCGAAGTGGAATCGAAATTATGTCTAGGTTTCCTATACGGAATTAGCTGCTGAATCCGACACTTAGAACGTCAGAACCCCTAAAAAGCACCAAAAGGTATAGTGTTCCAGAGATAAAAGATCACCAATATTTGCAAATCATATGGGAGGGAAAAGCCAAATGGTACGAAATTATGTCTATGTTTCCTCGGAATTAGTTCCTGAATCCAACACTTAGAACGTCAGAACCCCCAAAAAGCAACAAAAGGATCCAAAAGGTATAGTGTTCCAGAGATAAAAGATCGCCAATTCAATATTTGCAAATCATATGGGAGGGAAAAGCCAAATGGTACGAAATTATGTCTATGTTTCCTACGGAATTAGCTGCTGAATCCAACACTTAGAACGACAGAACCCCCAAAAAGCACCAAAAGGATCCAAAAGGTAGAGTGTTCCAGAGATAAAAGATCGCCAATGTTTGCAAATCATATAGGAGGGAAAGGCCAAATGGTACGAAATTATGTCTGTGTTTCCTACGGAATTAGCTGCTGAATCCAACACTTAGAACGTCAGAACCACCAAAAAGCACCAAAAGGTAGAGTGTTCCAGAGGTAAAGACCGCCAATATTTGCAAATCATATGGGAGGGAAAAGCCAAATGGTACGAAATTATGTCTATGTTTCCTACGGAATTAGCTGCTGAATCCAACACTTAGAACGTCAGAACCTCCAAAAAGCACCAAAAGAATCCAAAAGGCATAGTGTTCCAGAGATAAAAGATCGCCAATGTTTGCAAATTATATAGGAGGGAAAAGCTAAATGGTACGAAATTATGTCTATGTTTCCTATACGGAATTAGCTGCTGAATCCAACACTTAGAACGTCAGAACCCCCAAAAAGCACCAAAAAGTATAGTGTTCCAGAAGTAAAGACCGCCAAGATTGGCAAATCATATGGGAGGGAAAAGCCAAATGGTACGAAATTATGTCTATGTTTCCTACGGAATTAGCTGCTGAATCCAACACTTAGAACGTCAGAACCCCCAAAAAGCACCAAAAGGTATATTGTTCCAGAGATAAAAGATCGCCAATATTTGCACATCATATGGGAGGGAAAAGCCAAATGGTACGAAATTATGTCTATGTTTCTTACGGCTTAGAATGTCAGACCCCCCAAAAAGCACCAAAAGGTATAGTGTTCCAGAGATAAAAGATCGCCAATATTTGCAAATCAGATGGGAGGGAAAAGCCAAATGGTACGAAATTATGTCTACGTTTCCTACGGAATTAGCTGCTGAATCCAACACTTAGAACGTCAGAACCCCCAAAAGCACCAAAAGGTAGAGTGTTTCAGAGATAAAAGATCGACAATGTTTGCAAATCATATAGGAGGGAAAAGCCAAATGGTACGAAATTATGTCTATGTTTCCTACGGAATTAGCTGCTGAATCCAACACTTAGAACGTCAGAACCCCCAAAAAGCACCAAAAGGTATAGTGTTCCAGAGGTAAAGACCGCCAAGATTGGCAAATCGTATGGGAGGGAAAAGCCAAATGGTACGAAATTATTTCTATGTTTCCTACGGAATTAGCTGCTGAATCCAACACTTAGAACGCCAGAACCCCCAAAAAGCACCAAAAGGATCCAAAAGGTATAGTGTTCCAGAGATAAAAGATCGCCAATATTTGCAAATCATATGGGAGGGAAAAGCCAAATGGTACGAAATTATGTCTATGTTTCCTACGGAATTAGCTGCTGAATCCAACACTTAGAACGTCAGAACCACCAAAAAGCACCAAAATGCATAGTGTTCAAGAGATAAAGAACGCCAATATTTGCAAAACATATGGGAGGGAAAAGCCAAATGGTACGAAATTATGTCTATGTTTCCTACGGAATTAGCTGCCGAATCCAACACTTAGAACGTCAGAACCCCCAAAAAGCACCAAAAGGATCCAAAAGGTATAGTGTTCCAGAGATAAAAGATCGCCAATATTTGCAAATTATATGGGAGGGAAAAGCTAAATGGTAAGAAATTATGTCTATGTTTCCTACGGAATTAGCTGCTGAATCCAACACTTAGAACGTCAGAACCCCCAAAAAGCACCAAAAGGATCCAAAAGGTATAGTGTTCCAGAGATAAAGGATCGCCAATGTCAAATC